TTTGAAGAAAAAGTTCCTTTGTTGTATTACATATAGTAGTATAATTTTTCCTATAGATTTTTTTTTTTTGGTATTTACATGTAGTATGTTTGGACAAAAATTAATACTAATGGTTAGATGTACTGTGTACACTATATAATGTAATGGTACCAGACCAATAAGGGTTGCAGTGAAGTGGTAAGTACTCCTTCGTCCTTAATTAGAGGTCTCGAATTCGAGCCCTGGTATAGAGTCGTCCTTGTTAGGGAGCACTTTACTCCCAATGTGGGACTTCTCGGCGCAAATCCAGATTTAGTCGGACTCCAATACGGATACCGAACACCAAAAACAAAAAAAAATGTAATGGTACCAGATGCAACAAGACACACTCACTTTATATAATTAAGTTTTAAACATTTAGGCATATGATATGTATTACTATTAGATTTAACTATAATTATCACAAAATTATAGTAGTGTTGTAATATTTTATAATGTTGAACTCACCATTGAATAACCATAATAAAAGATTGTTAAATATGAAGAAGTCAAAGGGGGTTGTGTTGTATCATCCACCAAATCCCATACCCTTGTGACCTTCACGTACCTCTTCTCCTTCTTTCTCTCCATTGTTATATTATTAGTCATTTTAATTTTCACAATTTTCGGATCACCACATTACACTTTCCTTTTCTACACCTCAGCTTTCTAAAACAAACCTCCCAATTCTTTCTCCATATTTCTCTCTTATTTTCTTGTTGTCTTTTTCTTCTTAACACTATTATCCCTTTTTCTTGGTATTTGTTTTCTTGGAATTCTTTTTTTTTTTTTGTTCATTTTCACTCATCCTAAACCATTTTTTTAATGACCCCATTTTCTTGTTTTTTCAAATAAAAGAAGAGATTCTTTTTTTGGAGTCTCTTATTCATGTGGCTTTTCTAGTTCTGTTCTTTTCTTGATATTATATTCTCATCATTTGAACAAGACTAGTAGTAGCCCATTTTTCTCTTTTCTTTGTCAAGAATTGTAATTAAAAGTAGCAACATGGATTCTGATAAGGAGGGTACTAAAGGGGGAACAAAAACTCCAATTGCTGATTCTGATTCTGAGATTGAACATGAGCATGTTGGTGAGAAAAATGTAAGCAGACAAATGAGTGAGAGTTCCCTTTACACTACTGAGGATGAGGAAGAAGATGAAACTAATAATAAGATTGAGTTGGGTCCACAATGCACTCTCAAAGAACAATTTGAAAAGGATAAGGTGCTTTTTTCTGCCTTTTTCCATTTTTTCCCATCTAAAGATTACATTTTTCTAATTTTTTTGGGGATAATTACCTTAGCATAAAAGCAACCACTAATTCTTGCATTAGGGTAGGCTGTTTATATCACAACTCCTAGGGTCGTTTGGTTGGGAAACAATTTATCCACCCTTCCAGGGATTAAAAAAAAAACACTACAATGCTGGGATTTGTTATACCACGATTTTATCTCAACCAAAAGTAGGATAATTAATTATCCTTTATCCCTCGTACCAAACGATTCCTTAGGGTGCAGTCTTCCCTAAATGTGGGATGATTGTATACCGGGCTGCCCTTTTAATTACCTTATTGGGTCGTCCTCCTCCAAATAATAGATGATAAACATATATGTTTTGTCTATCCTTCTTAGACCCACTTGTGAGACTTTACTGAGTCGTTGTTATTGTTGTAAACGTATATGTTTTGTAATTAAGAATAAGTATAAATATACATATAATACACATATTATATACAGTGTATACATTTTGTATATGTTGGTTAGCATCTGTAATTAATTTCGGCCAACGGGGTCAAAAATGAAGAAAAAAAAGGTCCTTTTTTGGTTAATGTGTGGTTATGCTTGTGCAACTTTTGGCATTTTAGGATGATGAGAGTTTGAGAAGGTGGAAAGAGCAGCTTCTTGGAAGTGTGGATATCAATTCTGTTGGAGGTAACCATTCTTTTGTTTCAAGATTTGCTGCATGTCCTTTTGTGGAATTTCCTATAGCCTATGTTGCACGAACTCTCCAAAAATGCTACTACACTCGTGCCGAATCCCAAAATACACACCTTTGTTGGATCCGACACGCATCTGACTGCATTTTTGGAGAGTCCGAGCAAACATAACCCATAACAGAAAAGGGTAATCCACATATAGAAATTAAGGTTACATTTTAAACACAATATCCTGAACTAGCCTTTGAAATCTGAGAATCTCTTGCTTTTCTTGTTTATGCTGTGTATGGCTATTTCTCGTAATAACTGACAGCTTGATATAACATATTGTATGATATGGTTTTTTCATATGTCCAGAAAATAGATTGAAGTTTAAGTTAGATTTATGTGATCCATGGAATGCTAGCTTCTGTAATGGTCCTCTTCTTTTTCCTGCATTTTATCGCGCATAAAGCATGATAAAAATATAACCATTGAGTTTCTCTTGCTTGATTGCATTTTGGAATATGTTTAGTATGAGAACGAAACAGATCTAAATAAAGCGAAATGGTTGCAGTTGATCTGTAGAGCCGACCCAAAATATTTTGATAATGGGGCTTAGTTGATCAATTGATTGATTTGATCGCATTTTGGGCTATCATATTAAACAACAAATTGTGTTGACTTCATATTTTTCCCATTCCTAGTTTGTTCTTCTAGGATTTAAAGCTCTGGATTCAGATCCTTCTTGTGAAATGTCTGCTAGTTTTTTGTTAAGTTTTAAAGTTACGCATTGTCTTCACCTATTCCTATAAGGTATATGTACATGCATAAGAAACTAAAAGGATTTCCTAGATTCTGTTTCATTGGAATATTTATATTTGGACTAATCAGCTGGTAAATGTTTTCGTTAGTACCTTAAGAATATGTTATATTTGAATGAGGACTTCTATTTAGCTGAGGGTCTATCAAAAATAACCTCTGCCCTCCCATGGTAGTGTTAAGGTTGCGTACATCCTACCCTCCCCCGACCCCACTTGTGGGAATCTACTGGGTTTGTTCTTGTTGTTGAATCGACGACTTCCATATTGATAATATACAATGTTATACAATAAGACATATGATTACATTGATAGTTCCCAGAGCATATTGTCTGAGCTTTTCCGTCTGAAAATCACTTTGTAAAAGATTCAACATTGCTCTCATTAGTAATACTCAATTTTCTTCAGTGACACCTGAGAATGTTTCTGTGGCATTTTGAGGTTAATAAAATCTTGATGACCCCTCATGTAAGATGCATTTCGACGGAAAATTCTGACATTTTTTCCCACTGCTTTAAAATTGTAGAATCCCTGGATCCAGACGTGAAGATCTTGAGCCTTGAAATTAAGTCTCCTGGTAGACCTGATATTGTTCTCCCAATCCCCGAGGACGGGAAACCCCACAGCCCATGGTTTACACTGAAGGAAGGGAGCAAATACAGCCTAAAATTCTCATTTCAAGTCAGCAATAATATAGTGACCGGGCTCAAATACACGAACACAGTTTGGAAAACTGGTATCAAAGGTACTATACTTTTGCTGTCTCTATCTCACGTTGAATGTGCCGCTAAAGGCATCTACTTATGATGTATCTGATGAAATGTCTTTCCTTTTTCACAAATCTAATTTCAGTGGACAGCACGAAGCAAATGATCGGGGCCTTTAGTCCTCAGTTGGAGCCTTATACACATGAAATGCCGGAGGATACTACCCCTTCTGGCATGTTTGCAAGAGGATCTTACTCAGCAAGGACAAAGGTGATTATCTTCTGCATTACATGCTCTCGGCATACTCTTTGTCTACTATTTGACTTGGTCCTCTTAATATATATGCTAGACAGTGGCGGAGCTAGGAATTTCAATAAGGGCATCAAAATATAAAAAATAAACAGACGAAGAAAATATAGGGAGTCAACATATAATATATATACATAAAAAAAATAACCTAGCTAAACAGTATAATTTTCCGGCGAAGGGGTGTCAACTGACACCCTTTAGCATAAGGTAGCTCTGCCATTGATGCCAGAACTGAAAATCTTCTGTTATTGTCCATGTCCTTGGTTACTGGACAATCAGGAAATTTATCACTTAATGAATTTGGTGAATGTTATGTTCTTCAGTACTATGGACTGACTGAGACTGCAGTTGTTTGCATGTTGTTCTCTAACTTTAGAGTTTAACTTCTATACACTGGCAATATACGTAAAATTTTACACTGTTATGTTACCTAAATGATAACTACACATAACCATAAAAATCGGGAATCGTAACCTGGAAAATAAGACAGGTTACATGCTCCAACAAGTAAAAATTTTAGTGTATAAAGTTAAATCTCTAACTTTATTCCATATCAGGGTACCAGTTGTTGTTTCCTCTTCATTTTTGTTCTATGCATATTAATTAATTTTTTCCTCTTTTACTTGTTTCAGTTCCTTGATGATGATAACAAGTGCTATTTGGAGATCAACTACACATTTGAAATCAAGAAAGAATGGCAGGCAACATAAATAAAAGAGTTGCTTGAATTGTTTCTCAACCAAAACTATTCTTGTTTTCATTCTTCATCATTTTTGTCCGTCTTGTCCTATGGTTTTTGAGAAGAGGAAAAAAAAAGAACATTCTGCTGCAATTGATTTATTCAATGATGTGGAGGATTTAACTTAGCAGTTAGGTTCTTACTTATTGAGTATCATTGAATAAAGTTGAGCTTTGTCTATGACTGATTAACAATGAGTTCTCTCTCTCTCTCTCTCTCTTTTCAAGTGGATATTTGTCTTTGGTTTTTTTAATTTAATGTCCAGAAACTGAGCTATCTTGAGAATCCAAGAAAGGGATTCAACTTCAGTCGGAAAGTTATACTGTGTAAAAAAGGGCAGCCCGGTGCACTAAGCTCCCGCTATGCGCTGAGTCCGAGGAAGGGCTGGACCACAAGGGTCTATCGTATGCAGTATTACCTTGCATTTCTGTAAGAGGTTGTTTCCATAGCTCGAACCCGTGACCTCCTGATCACATACTGTAAATCGGATAAAAATTTAATCTTTTTTCATATATTCAATGGTGAACAGAGGTGAATTCTGATATGTTGGGTACTCTAGTATTTGACCAATCGGAGCATTGTCACATACAATTTTCTTAGTAACAAATCCTCATTGCCTTCCCTCCAAATATGTCTCGATTTCACACCTCCGAACTCCAATCCCTTCTCATAAGCTCTCCGATTCGCATGATACCATTGAAATGTGGATCCTGAGGCTCCGTCACTGTGCAACTTCTGTATAAAAACCAGAGAGTCCGTCTCAACTTGAATGAGTCTACAACGTCCATCTCCCCAGAAGCCTGTAGTTTGGCTAAAAACAAATAATCAGAAGAAAACAACGGCGCAAAATACACATCAGGAACTTGCAAAGCCAAAATAACAGGAAAAAAATATGTTCACCGTCGGCAATACACACTTGATAATACTCCGACCATAAATCAAAATTTCTCGGGACCTTTTACTTTTTCTCTATCACATGGGAATTTGAATTAATTCATGTATATCTACTTCTATCCATGTGGGGAGGAAAAAATGTCTGTATCAGCTATAAAATTTATTTTGTACAGGGTGTGTGTGTTGGGGGTGGGGGACTATGAAGTTGGCATCAATACAGTGTCAATCAAGGTGAAATCTTGAATGTCAAAAGTATCATATAACAGAGCCAGTGTTTCCTGCAATGGATAAATTTGAAGGAGCCAGCAGTCAAAATGATTATTTACTTCTGTCTGGGATTGCCTTTCACTTCAGTCCATCACCAGGATTCTTGTGGATTTATGATGAATCCTCACAATTTTACTTTTTCTTTCTTCTGATATTTTCCTTTAGAACTTTCTAAAAGATGGATGTTTTTCTGAATGATCAAAGCAACTTTCAGCTATAATTGAATGAACAGACAGAAGGTGAGTATACCTTTTTTAATTTCATTTGCTAGTAATTTTGGTTTATGTCTCAGTCAAAAAGCTGATTTAACTACGTGTAACCATTCTTTATCATTGATAGGTTAAGAAACATCATCCTGTAGAAGGGTAAAACTACCCTTGTGGTCCAGCCCTTCCTCGGACCCTGCGCATAGCAGGAACTTAGTGCACCGGGCTTGCCTTTTAGGTTAATATGTCATTTGAAAAACATCAAACGTTTCAAAACTATATGGGAGAAAGCTACGATTTGAGATCATGTACTCTAAAGTGACTAAAGAGTCATTAATGGAAGAATCATAGTCAGAGTAAGAAGCTAAACAGATCAAGCTTGGAACATATACAATAATTGTTTTTTTAGGATAACTCTGCTGTCTATAAGCACCTTTACTCGCCAAAAAGAAAAAAACTTGAACAGAAGTTCAAATTGGAAAAGAAAGTGCTTAACCACAATGTGACCATGTGACTAGGAGGTTACGATAAAGTTGAAGGGGAGCTTTGGCGTAACTGGTAAAGATATTGTCATGTGACCAGGAGGTCACGGGTTCGAGCGGTGGAAACAGCCTCTTGCAGAAATGCAGGGTAAGGCTGCATACAATAGACCCTTGTGGTCCGGCCCTTCCTCGGACCCCGCGCATAGAGGGAGCTTAGTGCACTGGGCGGTCCTTTTTTAGTGCTTACCCACAATGGAATAAAAGAAGTGTAAAAGAAACAGCTGGAAGAAGGAATAAAAGTCTGAGGATCAGTCCATCATTTGAAGCCTCTACAGGTTGATGTTCTGGCCGACCTTTATATTCTCCCTGCAAAGATGATCATACGGGTTAAAGTAATTGGCAAAAAATATACTGAAATGGAACTTAATGTACGAAAGAAGTTAATAAATTTGAATTTACTCACAGATTTTCCCAGATAAGGACTTAAGATGATCCCATTTCGTACACGAACTCACTCGTCGAAGCACGTTACCTCAAGCTTGTCTTCTCCCATAGTTTCAGCAACACATTCCTTAATCTCATGAGCTGACTCTACAAGTTGACGGTTGCCCCACAGTGAGATAGACTTTAATGAAGCAATATCCGCAAAACTATCTGGGATCTCTATAAGTTCATCACATCTTTTTATATGTAATTCCTCGAGCACGGGAAATGATTCCTCTCCAACCTTCCATTCAGAAAAAGATACCCAGTCCAAACTCAGGAATTTGAGATTCTCGAAAGTGACTTCTTCTTCCATGTTCCATTCTTTCCCCTGGATGATTGCTTCTTCTAGAGTCAGCTTTTGAAGGTTGGGTAGTCTCCCAATTCTTGATAGTAAATCGGATGTCAGATTAAACCTCGTCAACACCAGTTTTTTCAAGCTGGAAGGGAAGTGAAAATCCCATTGATCTTGACGGAACGAAGCGCAATCAAAATATACACAAACTTCTTCAAGTTCTTTAAGGACATCCAATCTTGGTAATGAAATCTGCTCTGCTGAACATGGCCATGGTTCGTTGATGGTGAACATAAGGTTTCGGAGATTGGGAAACCTTTTGAAAATATCCTCTGTGTTTCCGGACGAGGAAAGCTTGAGCCCATATAATATTCTCAAATTCTTTAACTTTGAGTGCTCTTTTAACACTGCTGGTTCGTCAATATCCGAATCAAAGAGAGAACAATTGTCGATGCTCACATGACGTAGCTTTGCAAGACTCCAGATACTAGGTGATAGTACCATGTTTGTTCCCTGGTTATCCACCACCAGAGTTTCCAGATTCAAGAGATTTGAAAATGACGGAGGGAGAGCTTTTGCCTTCGTCTGAATCTTTAAGCACCTCAAATGAACAAGCATGCATATATCATTCAGCAAAGAATACGTCAATCTTATTTTGTGCAGCTCCAACCTTTTAAGAAGTCTCAAGTGTCTTAGGTGACAGTTGTAGGAAAGATAATTGAGTTTCCCATCAGAAACCTTCAAAGAGAGGAGGTGTTTAACATAAGGATTTTTCTTTTCTGGATTGAACAGGACTAAGTTTTCATTCGAAGGAAGGAGATGTCGGTCATAATGAATGGTCATTCCACGTGGCATCAGATCTGAAGAAGAATAAGACAGAGCACTTGAACTTATGAAGTCAAACAACTTTTCTTTTCTTGCTTTTTCCAAACAAAAATCATGCACAAGATCATGAATTCGGCAACTCGATGCCCTACCTCTCTCGTTGAAAACGATCACCAAGCTACTGGAAATTAACTCATCCACATAAATCTCCATTACTTCTTCCACACTCTTCATCTCAGTCTGTTCCACAAGCCCTTCTGCACTCCATAAATCCTTCAATTGAGAGATTTCAATTGATTCGTCCTTTGGACAGCTTGCAAGGTAAAGTAAGCATGGCTTCAAGTGATCTGATAAATGATCATAACTTAACTGTATAACCTTTTTCACTTCATTCTTAATGGATTTTAAATTATTTAGAACTTCAAGCCAGAAAGCCTTTTTCGTTTCGTTCTTTGCAATGACTCCAGCGATCAGATCAAGTACCAAAGGAAGCCCTTCACACTTTTGGGCTATTTCTTCACCAACATCCAGTAGTTCTTTCGGGCAACTTTTTTCTCCAAATACCTTTCTTTCTAATAACTCCCAACTTTCCCCTTGCGTGAGAAATCGAAGATAAAGAGGATCACTATGGCGTTTATCTTTCACAGCGACTTCTTGTATTCGACTTGTTAAAATAATTCTACTTCCTTTTTGAAATTCAGGAAAAGGTCTTGTTAGCTCATCCCATGTTCCAATATCCCATAAGTCATCCAAGACAATNAAAGGTCTTGTTAGCTCATCCCATGTTGCAATATCCCACAAGTCATCCAAGACAACAAGGTACCTCTTTCCACACAGTTGTTTCCGTAGCTTATCAGCAACGTCATCATCTATGCCATCCTCATTGAATCTTTCTTTCAAACCAATAACTTGATTATAAATTTTCTGCAACAGCTTTTTCTCATTACGTTCTTGGTCGACTGTGCACCAAGCGCGAACATCAAAATGATCAACAACAAACTTTTCATTATAGACTTTGTAAGCCAAAGTAGTTTTTCCAAGCCCTGGCATACCAACTATGGAAATGACATCTATCTCAGTTGGTCCCTTGGTGAGCTTACTAATTATCTCTTTCGTCTCCTTCTCAAAACCTACAATTATTTGACTGGTTGCTGATGACTTGCTAATTTCAGTTGGCTTTTTGGGAGAGTTGACAACAACGGGGCCCCTATTCTTGGGGATCTTCTGTTGTACCTCTTCTTTGATAAGCTTGATCTTTTCTATGGTTTTGGGAAGTAAGAAGATAAGTTTCAAAAGACCATGATCTCTAACAAGAACTGAATTAATGGAATGTTCTGCCTCATATGCCACATCTAGAACACAATTCCAGAGATCTCTATTCAATTTTTGCTCAACTTTTCCAAAGAAAGATCTTATGAATTCTAGGTCTTCTTTCACCATTTGAACTTCTTCTTTTATTAAAGCAGCAGAATGAGCATCTGACTTGAGCAAATCATTTAAGTTTCTAAGGAGAAGAGTTATGAAGATTGGTCCATCACTCTTGGGGAAGCAGAGTTGAGACGAGTCTTTAGGGGCTTTCAGGAAAACATGTTTGAGATCTTCCTTCAGTAGTTCAATACTTTCCAACAAGTCTAGACTGCCACAATTTGTTTCATTCATATTCTCTTCATTTCTTGAGATCTCTTCTAAGTTGCAAACAAGAATGGATACCTCCCTTGTAAGTGCTCCAACACGTGCCAAGAGATCGAACAATTTGTCATGATAAATAAAGTCCTTGGGCATATCTGTTAGAATAATCAATAGGAACTCTATCACGACATGAATGCTTCGAGCTGAAGTGCTAGCATTAAGAACAGTTACCATATGGACTTGTAGATGAATCAGATATTCTCTAAGAATGGCTGGAGAGGATTCTTGGAGCTGCTTAATGAAAAGACCAACTTCTGCTGACTTTGAAGCCTCCAAATTTGTAAAACATATGTGCATAACCTCCAGTTCAACAGGGATAATTTTCACAAGTAAATGAGCCAGCTTGAAATTGACTTGAGGGACATCAAGGTGATAAGACAAAAGGACAAAACAGAAGTGTCCTACTCTCTCAGCCATACGTTGAAACTGAGGTAAGACATATTCAACTATTTCATGCTTAACGCAACCATTTACTTTCAACCCATGGAAATCTCTTATATTGACACATACATTCTGAATTACCTTGTACTGAGTCATTAATGGTAAGATCAACTCAGCACAACACTTGGGTAGATCATGGAGATTCACGAGGAGCTTGTTCAAAATTTCCACCAACTGATCCTCAGTCATGGTGTCAGTTGATTTAGAATAATGATGTTGGGAATTAATACAACTTTTGATAGTTTCCAGGAGGCGAGGAACAATATGATCCTTTAATTTAACCAGCATGTCATCTCGACTCTGATGAAAACGTGACTGAACTAGATCATCAACCTGCTGTGCTTTGCTAGACATTCTGTCATTAAAAACATCCAAGCTGAAATAAGAAAGCTGAAGAAATGTCGACATAATTGTCAGCTTCAATTTCAGTTTTTCAATTTGATCCATGTCAAGGGCTATTTGATCTTCTTCATTCTTTAACCTCTCAACGAAATCCAGAAGAATGGAAATGTCCTTGCGAAGTACATAAGATGCGACCTGCCAAAAGACCAAATGTAATATCAAATTTTCAGAGCCGCATATATATTTGACAAATATTACTCTGTAGTCTAGACAGGCAACTAGCATGGTTGTAGAGGGCTTGCTTCAAAATATGGTTTACTTTGTATATGACTTGAGTGTTTGACTAGGTGGTTCAACAACTAGCCAAAAAAGAAGAAGAGTATATCCATTTTATATTTGTGAAACTTTTGTATGATCGAGTTTCTATTTATCTTCTCATGCCATAATTTGGTTGGTTACTCCGTGAACTTTTTTTTTTGGATAAATTATTTACAAGTTATGCACTAAAAAGGGATGGATGATTTAGTAAATAATTTCTTAAACCATTTTTTGGGAGAAGAGACAGATAGAGGTAACTGTCAAACATATAAAAAAAACTACCTCTTGCAACGGTAAAGTTGTCTCCATGTGACCTATAGGTACGGGTTCGAGCCGTGGAAGCAACCATTAATGTTTGCATTAGGGTAGACTGTCTACATCACACCTTTGAGAAGCGGACCTTCGCCGGACCCTGCATAAACACGGGATGCTTTGTGCACCGGGCTACCCTTTACCTCTTTCATAGTTTAATGAGAATCAAGAAGCTTTATGATGTTTATAAAGGTTGTTTTTTTGCTTTAGCTATAAGCATGTGACATGTTTAGCATCAAATTTGTGGTTATTCGCAGAAATATTAGCCCTAATGTGGATGAGTAAGGCCATATATAAAAATTTCGTATACATGATAAACCAGTGAGATCTTAGTTTCTCAAGTATAGTAATCCTTCTAGGTTCATCAACTGAATGAGTTTCTTAGTTGGACATTTCCAGTCTAAACCTTGACGAAGTCAGTTGTGGCCTCCTTATTGTCGTCCGGGATAATCCCCCCTCATGAGCTAACTTTTAGAGTTGGGTTAGACCCAAAGTTCATTTCTAACATGGTATCAGATCCAGACTATCTATCCATGTTATTGTGTTGTACGCTGTTGAATGATAGAGGATTTCCAAGAAGATATTCTCCATATCAAGATTTGATCCTCTAAGATCTTTCCATATCAAATTTTGATTCTTTGTTTTATTTTATTTTGTATAATCCCAGATTTTATGGGATTTTGTTTCTAACCTCTTCTTGTATATAAAGTCATGTATATGACATTCAAAAATATGAATGAAATTATTCAAGTTTCTTATTCTTTCCAAAAGGTATCAGAGCCTTAGGCTTATTACTGACAAATTTTTTTCATTCATCCATCTTTTCATCACATTTGTCCTCTTTATTCCGCCCAAGGGTTGAAACCATTTGAAAACCATGTCCGAAGAGAGTACTATTGCGAATACTCCAGTCTCTGAAAATGTTTCTGCCACTGTAGAGCTATGTTTCAACTGGAGATTTACAAAATATTCAAGCCTCTTATCGGTTGAATGGGAAAAATTATCTAAAATGGTCTCAGCTTGTTCGTACTTTTCTAAAAGGTAAAGGGAAATTAGGACATCTCCTCGGTACAGGACCATTCAAAGAAGACCCCAAGTTTGATGCATGGGATGAACATGATTCAATGGTGATGTCATTGTTATGGAACTCTATGCTTCCAAAAATTAGTGATACTGTTATGTTTCTGAATACTGCCAAGGAAATTTGGGATGCAGTGAAGGAGACATACTCTAAAGTTCATGATGCTGCCAGTATCTATTAAATAAAAACAAAATTATCTGCAACAAAACAGGGAGCTCAATCTGTCAGTGAATATTCTAACCTTTTACACGGGTTATGGCAAGAGATGGATCACTATCAATGCATTCAAATGCGTTGCACAGACGATGCTGTAATTTTGAAAAGATTTATTGAAAAAAGAAAGGATTTATGATTTTCTTGCAGGGCTAAATGTAGAGTTTGATGTTGTACGAGTGCAAATTTTAGGGAAAGAAGATCTGCCACCATTGAATGAGACAATGGCCATTATACGGACAGAGGAAGGACAGAGGAGTGTTATGCTTGAAACTCAAATAAATGAAGGATCAGCTCTTATGACGAAAGGGACAAATAAAAAGGAATCTGGAGTTTCACAATTGGAGAGCACCATCAAGCCCGCAAGTTCATTCAAACCGATTGTCAACAGGGACAATCTTTACTGCACTTACTGCAAAAAGTATCGGCACACGAGAGAGATGTTGGAAACTCAATGGTAAAACGTCCAACAAAAAATAATTTTGATGGAACGCAAGCACACATTGCTAGTAGCCCTCAGGTTGATAAAAAAAGTCCATTAGTCCCAGAATTCAACAAAGAAGATATTGAGAAATTGAAGACATTGCTGGAATCTCTGGAGATATCATTTTGGGCAGGTAGTTGTTCAATGGCCTTTGCAGGTATTTCTTCCACTTTTGTTGCTAATGTTAGAGACAAATTTTCTCCAATGTGGGTGGTTGATTCCGGGGCAACTGATCATATGACTTGTTCCTCCCATCTCTTTATATCATATTCACCTTGCCCTAGCTATAAAAAAATAACTATAGTCGATGGTTCAGTTATTACTGTAGTTGGCCAAGGAGACATACAACTGGGAAAGTCTTTGATACTTAAGAATGTACTTCATGTCCCAAAGTTATTTGCAAATCTCATTTCTGTTCACAAAGTCACCAAAGATTCCAAATGCAAAGTAACCTTTTTCTCTTCATATTGTGCATTTCAAAAACAGGACACGAAGGAGATGATTGGGCGTGCTAGTGAGAAAGGTGGTCTTTATTTTCTGGATTTTCACAATGGTGGAGATACAATTAAGAATTCCTTATCTAGTTCATATGTCCAATAAAGAGAGAGTTTGGCTCTATCATCGTCGCTTAGGTCCTTCTTTTTATGTAATCAAGCTAATGTTTCCATTGTTATTCAAAAATTTGGTTGTTGAGTCTTTTCATTGTGAAGATTGTGAAATCGCAAAACATAAACGTGTTTCCTTTCCAATAAGCAACAAAAGATGTCAGACTCCATTTTCTCTTATTCATAGTGATGTATGGGGACCCTCTTCCATTCCTAATATTTCCGGTGCTAGATGGTTTGTGTCATTCAATGATGATTTTACAAGAGTAACATGGATCTATTTGGTAAAGCAAAAATCAGATGTCAGCCACGTTCTTCCTATCTTTTTTAATCTGGTTAAAACCCAATTTGATGTGACAATTAAAAGATTCCGTTCTGATAATGCCAAGGACTACTTCAATCAAAACCTCTCTGTTTTCTTCAAAAAAGAGGGAATTATTCACGAATCTTCATGTGTCAATACTCCTCAACAAAATGGGATAGCGGAGAGAAGAAATGGTTTGTTACTTGACATTACTAGATCACTATTGTTTCACAAAAGGGTTCCAAATCAGTACTGGGGGGAAGCTGTCCTAATTGCTGCATATCTTAGTAGTAGAATACCATCAAGAATTCTGAATTTTAAGAGCCCACTTGATACTCTTAGGAGTTTCTTCCCGAATTTCGAAAATTCCAATAAATTGATTCCTAGAATCTTTGGGAGTATTGCCTATGTTCACATTCATTCTCAGAATAGAGGCAAATTAGATCCACGTGCTCTTAAGTGTGTTTTCATTGGATATTCTCCTACTCAAAAAGGATATAAGTGTTACCAACCATCAACCAAGAAGTTTTTTGTTTCAGCTGATGTCACATTTGATGAAAGTGAGTCATTTTTTAAAAATTCTTACATTCAGGGGGAGTCATTGGATGGAAAAGGATCTCTAGACTTATCACTACTTGATTTGTCTATTCCTAGCCATGACAAATCCTTATCTATGTCCTTGCCTGAGTCACCATCTCTTAACTCATCTGAGTCTCTAAATCCTATTGAACCTATTGAGTTTTCTAATCTTGATATAGATAAAGGAATTCAAGAAAGTAACCCACCATTGCAGGTTTATTCCAGAAGAAAGAGGCTAACTGATCAAACTACTCAACCACAATTATCTCCTCATGTTCCTGCTCCTAATACCCATCTTGAACGTGTTGAACCATCAGAAACACCAAACCAAACTGATCATGAAGATCATAACCAACAAAATGATCTTGACCTTCCCATTGCACTTAGAAAAGGAACCAGAACCTGCACACAACACCCTTTGTGCCTTTCCTTGACATATCAAAACCTATCCCCAAGCCATAAAGCTTTTCTCAGTAACCTCCACACAATTCATGTTCCAAAAAATTTGCCTGAAGCATTAGGTAACAAAGAGTGGGAAGAAGCTATGAAGGTGGAAATGGAAGTATTGCAGAAGAATAAAACTTGGGAAATGGTGGAATTACCAAAAGGGAAAAGGTCGGTAGGGTGTAGATGGGTGTTTACCGTGAAATACAAGTCCGATGGGTCTATAGAAAGATTTAAAGCACGTTTGGTAGCAAAGGGTTACACACAGACCTATGGAATTGATTATTTGGAGACTTTTGCCCCAGTGGAAAAAATGAATATAGTAAGGATCTTATTGTCATTGGCTGCGATTTTTAATTGGAACCTACAGCAATTTGATGTTAAAAATGCTTTTCTACATGGAGATTTAGATGAGGAGATCTATATGGAGGTACCACCTGGTTTAGAAAGCAAGAAGGGAATGGTATGTAGACTGAAGAAAGCACTCTATGGACTAAAGCAATCACCTCGTGCATGGTTTGGAAGATTTACAAAGGTTATGATCAAGCTAGGCTATCGGCAGAGTCAAGGAGACCACACTTTGTTCATAAGGCACTCAAAAACAGGAAAGGTAGCTGCTCTACTAGTCTATGTAGATGATATCATAGTAACAGGTGATGATTCAGAGGAGATATACAATTTGAAGAATTGTTCACTCAAGGAATTTGATATCAAAGATCTTGAAAAATTAAAGTATTTTTTGGGAATTGAAGTAGCACATTCTAAACAAGGAATCTTTATTTCCCAACAAAAATATGTGCTTGATTTGTTGAAAGAAACAGGAAAATTAGGGTGTAAACCAGTGGCCACACCAATTGAATATAATCATGGGTTGTGTAATTCTCCAGAAGATTCTGTGGTAGATAAAGGCTCGTATCAAAGGCTTGTAGGGAAATTGATCTACTTGTCCCATACAAGGCCAGACATTGCTTTTGTTGTAAGTGTCGTTAGCCAATTTATGCATGACCCTAGAGAAATGCATCTCCAAGCGACGAACAGAATTGTACAATATCTTAAAGGAAGCCCCGGAAAAGGAATGCTATTCAGAAGAGGAGGAGACATGGTTTTAGAGGCTTATACTGATGCGGATTATGCTGGTTCATTAGTGGATCGAAGATCAACTTCTGGATACTGTACCTTTTTAGGAGGAAATCTTGTGACTTGGAGAAGTAAAAAACAGAATGTGGTGGCCATATCAAGTGTAGAATCCGAGTTCAGATCTATGGCGATGGGAGTTTGTGAGTTGTTATGGTTAAAGATAATCCTTGATGATTTGAAGATAAGATGGGAAGGACCTATGAGACTATATTGTGACAATAAATCAGCAAGAAGTATAGCTCATAATCATGTACAACATGATCGCACTAAGCATATTGAGGTATATAGACACTTCATTAAGGAGAAATTAGATAGTGGACTCATTTGTAGACCATTTGTATCTACAAAAGATTAGTTGGCCGATGTTTTAACAAAAGGACTGCCAAACAATGTGTTTCAAGACCTGATAAGCAAGCTAGGAATGGAAGATATCCATTCACCAGCTTGAGGGGGAGTGTTGAACCATAGAGGATTTTCAAGAAAATATTCTCCATATCAAGATTTGATCCTCTACGATTTGTCCATATCAAGTTTTGATTCTCTAAGATCTTTCCATATCAAATTTTGATTCTTTGTTTTATTTTATTTTGTATAATCCCAGATTTTATGGGATTTTGTTTCTAACCTCTTCTTGTATATAAAGCCATGTATATGACATTCAAAAATATGAATGAAATTATTCAAGTTTCTTACTCTTTCCACTTCAATTGTCCAGTCCTAGCATGCGAGGGAGTGTTAAGTCCCACATTAGTATCCGTGAAAATAGCACGGGCTAGCCAGTTTTCGGACTGGTCATTGAAAAATAGCCAGCATTTGCAAAGTCGTTGAAAAATAGCCATTATTTTGCTGCAACACGGAAAGTTCCAGCATAATATACCGGAGATTGGTGCACCTGTGTATGAACTTCCAGCATATTATGCTGGAACTCCAATACACAGAAAGTTCCAACATAATATACTGGAGATTGGAGCACCTGTCTATGAACATCCAGCATATTATGTTGTAAGTTCAGTATATTATACTGGAACTCCAGTATATTATGTAAGAATATTTTCAGGATTTTGAACAGTGTTTTCGTTCAGATTTATCTTTACATGAAAAATGGCTAAATTTCGATTACTTTTGAAATTGTGGCTATTTTTCAATTACCATTTGTAACTCTGGCTATTTTTGAATTTCACCCTTAGTATCCCGAATGGGTGTTAATCTCCTTATATGGTCTTGGCAGTATTCCCATCATGAGCTAGCTTTTGGAATTAAATTAGACCCAATATCCATTTCTTCACACTTAAAAATTAAAGCAAGAATTATATCCTGAAAGGAAGAGATCATTTATGTAGGAACAAAGTTTCATTTTGATTAGGTTTTGTAAATTGTAATCTAAGAGAGGGAAAAAAAGAAGATAAAAGGGAATAAGGAAAGTGGTGACGTAAATCCCCCTTTACTTCTTTTATCTTTATCCTACATGCATTTGATGCTTATGATTTGCTAAACTGTTGGTTTGGACTGGTTAAAAACTGTGTTGGAGGTGTCGAGATGTAGAGCGGAAACTTGGAAATGCATGGAAGGTAGTTGGGATGGTGTGAACGGTTGAAGCAATGGGTTAATTGTTTCCATAACGTTGTTTGCTTGCCAGGTCCGGTGACAACAAGCTTAACCGCGATCACAGGACCTTGGCCGCGATGCGGCCAAGCATGATTGTCTGGAGCAGTGTTTCGAGTCCAAAATGATAAGGTCGATCACAAGAGGAGTCGAGCGTAGATTAGAATAACACGGACCTTGATTGCAACACATGCACTGCAATTGTGATTGACATTCACTCTTTGGCTCCAGACATAGCTAATAGTGTCATCTATTCCAAATATGCTTATCAGATCTGAAATGAACTTAACAAACGATATGGTCAGTCAAATTAGGCATGAATTTGTCAAGTTCAGAAAGGAACTCAGGATACTATCTGAAAGATCCTGCGATATTGAAATTTTTTAATTTATTGTTAAAAGTAAGTATATAGATATCAACAACAAGAGTGTGCTGGCAAGAAATTACAATAGGGGCTACATTATGAAATGTGTGATGAGCCAAGTACTAGTTATTACGCAGAACCAACTCGGAATCACCTCAAATTTTGCACAGAAATTCCAAATGACATTACGAACTTATTTCAACTTCCGGAACAATATCCGAACCCGATAACATCGAAGTCAACTCTCGGTCAAACCTATGAACCTTCCAAACCTTCAAATTACCCACTTTCGACAAATAGAGCCGAAACATTCTAGGAACATCCAAATTCAAATCCGAACATATGCCCAAGTCCAAAATCACCATACGAACCTATGAGAATCATCAAAACACTCATCCGAGGTCGTTTGCTCACAAGTCAAACGTTGGCCAACTATTCCAACTTAAAGCTTCCAAATCGAGAATCATCTCTAAACAATGATTCTTGTTGCAGCTGTGATTGTCAATGTGGTGGAAAGGTAAAAATGATTAAGGACAAGGAAACTCTGAAACTTAATCAGTTCTTAATTCGCCTTAATGACTCTTATAGTCGTACCATAAGAAACATAACTATGATGAAACCTACACCTAACATCAATCAAACTTGTTCTCTCCTACTTCAAGATGAAAAATCTGAATCCAGACTCTTTCACACCTTATTCCTGAATCAGGTTCTTTCTCTGTTGGTTCCTCATCAGAAGGGCAGACATATCCTCCCAAAACAAATTTCTCTGGTTTTAAAGAAGTCTAATAACTACTGCAAGAAACCAGGCCATACTATTGATAAATGCAATAGATTCCATGGTTTGAGAATGATTCCTTAGGGTCGTTTGGTACGCAGGATAAGGTGGGATAAGATATGAGATTAAATTATACTGTGTTTGATTGGCGGTATAAATTTATCCCGGGATCCCTTAGTGTTTAAATTTTTTCACAAAGTTGGTAAATTAATTGAGATATGGTGGGATGAACAAGTCATGGATAGTAAATGTACTCAACACTTCGTAAAATGTTAAATTTAAACAAGTGTTACTTGACTATCCGTTTTTGGATCCAACACTGGTATCTCTTCCTAATTAGTAGACAAGTCTAATCGGAATACTTTATCATGTGCTCAAGTGCTCAAATATGCCTTTGTTTGAGTGTCTAAATGAAATATATACGAGCAAATTCAAGGGGATGTTAATGTATTCTGCCTTCCCTGGAGGAATATATGGATAATCGTTCAAGTTAGTACTCCCTCTGTTCCAATTTAGATGACACACTTTCCTTATTAGTCCGTTCCAAAAAAATGATACATTTTTACACTTTCCTTATTAGTCCATTCCATGACGGTTCAATTTTAGTAAGAATTATCTATTTAAAAACTTAGTGAACTCCTTTACGATTTCCTATTTTCGAATGTGTTTGCTTGCTGCTACTCTACTCGATTTTCCATCCCTCTTGTCATTTCCGCTAACTTTTATGAGTCACCGTCTATTGATTAATTATGACACCGCTTCTAAGAAATTCTGTGTACGTCACTACCTGACGTTTTGCAAGAGATTATTTCCACTGCTCGAACCTGTGAGCTCCTGGTCACATAGAGGCAACTTTACCAGTTACGTCAAGGCTCCCACTATGGGCGGGGTCCGGAGAAGAGCGGGACCATAAGGGTCTATTGTACGTGGTCTTACACTACATTTTTGCAAGAAGTTGTTTCCACTAGTCGAACCTGTGAGCTCCTGGTCACATAGAGGCAACTTTACCAGTTACGTCAAGGCTCCCACTATGGGCGGGGTCCGGAGAAGAGCGGGACCATAAGGGTCTATTGTACGTGGTCTTACACTACATTTTTGCAAGAAGTTGTTTCCACTAGTCGAACCTGTGAGCTCCTGGTCACATAGAGGCAACTTTACCAGTTACGTCAAGGCTCCCACTATGGGCGGGATCCGGGGAAGAGCGGGACCATAAGGGTCACATAGTTGCAATAAGTTGTTTCCACTAGTCCAATCAGTGACCTCTTGGGTCACATGACAATAACTTTACCAATTACGCCAAAGCTCCTGCTATGTGCCAAGTCCGGGGATGGGTTTGTTTCTACAAGAGGTTGTTTCCACAGCTCGAATCCGTGACCTCTTGATCACGTATCAAGAGCTTTACTAGTTACCCAAGGCTCCGCTTCTTAATATTTAGTTTTAATACGTATAAATATTGTATGACATACCGATGAGTTGTTTGCTTCCCCTTTCTCTGTTTCTCCTTCATTTTGTTTTCCTCTTTCCATGTATGCAATTCTCACTAGTGAAGCCAAAGTTCAAGTTTTCAAGTCTGATGTATAAAAAGTACACAAACCTTTATTAGGAGAAGTAGAAAAACAAGAACACAAGAAACTGAAGGAAGAAGGATATAGCAGGAAACAATTTACTGCAGATATAGCCAGATTTACCTTTTGACCACTTAAAGTTGAGCAAATCGGCCAAAGGTTGTTGCTATTAGAACCTCTTATTTGAGAAAAAATAAGTGAAGACAGTAAGTGCTGGGATTCAGAAAGAAAGATATGTGAGAGAGAAGTAGACAAATTGGAAGGCTACCAATTAGAAAGAAGAATCAAATAAAGATACATTGATAATTGCAAGATTAAAATAGTACAATTTATTGACTTCTGAAGTCTTTTTTTAATACCCATTATCATCTCCCCTTGTCTTGAGATTCTATTTTTTTTACATCAAAACTTGTCTCGCGATTTGTCTAAGCTTTTAACAGAAAATCATTTTAACTATTTCAATTGTTATATACTTGTTTTATTCATTATATAAAAAAAAATAAGAGAAAATTTCACATAACAACAACTGGGCTCCCTATTTTTCAATTTTATAGCTCATATTTTAATTTACAACCAACTAGCTCAAAAATAACAAGCTAATACTCAATATTTAACTCTAATAGATTTTCGAAATTACTTGTTCATTATACTAAAAAATAAAGATAATTTTTTTTTCGAGTTTTACCCTTATTATTAACTAATCATCTCCAAACCATTTTCCAATTTTTTTGAAATGTTATCATTATTATGGGTGAAAGTGTAATATACCTACTTTATTTATTTATTCTTAACGTGAATGCAAAGTCAACAACTAAAACTGAACGGAAAGAGTAGATGTCAATCAATATAAGCAAAATTAACTCCAACATGTTAATTAGGTGCATATATGTGCACTGATGGAGTAAGCATAGGCAAAGCATTGGACATACAAAACCATTATTAATCCTTGTGCTATTAATCACATGGCATTTGCTACAAAATATTCCTTTTGTCCCCCACGTGAGCTTTGTTGGTATTTGTTAGAGACCAACACAAAATATTGTGGGTAGGTATATCCATTTTTAAAGGATACATCTATTATTTGCGAAAATATCTGTTATAAAATAAAAGCAATGCAGTAAAATGTAAACAAGAAGAGATAGAGAGAATGGAGAAGTGTTTTCTTCTTTCACTTTAGTGTAATTTTTCATTGCAATTACATGGCCTTTTATAGGCATAAAAAGTAAAGATGGTGGACATAAAATAGGAAATTTAATCTTTAAGTTATTCGCAACATGGACATCCAATGTAGCATCCAATGGAGTATCCAAAGTAGTATCCAATGTACAAATTATTCATAACACCCCCCCTTGGATGTCCATGTAAGATAATATGCCTCATTAAAAACTTACAAAAAAAATATTGGGATGTACATAGTTATTTATAATATGCATTGATTGCTGCCTCATTAAAAATCTTACCAGGAAAACCCAGTGGGACAAAACCTTTGTTAAGGAAAAGTGTGTGGCGTGTAGTTACTCCCCCTGATGAAAAATCGCTTAATGTCTCGAAGACGACGCATTCCAATCTTATATATCATCTTTTCAAATATTGAGGTTTGTAATGCCTTAGTGAACAGATCAGCCAAATTATCACTTGAACGAACTTGATGTACATCTATTTCACCATTCTTCTGAAGATCATGAGTGAAAAAGAATTTCGGTGAAATGTATTTTGTTCTATCTCCTTTGATATATCCTCCTTTCAATTGAGCTATGCATGCAGCATTGTCTTCATACAATATTGTTGGAATATTCTCTTTCGAAGAAAGACCACATGTTTGTTGAATGTGTTGAGTTATAGATCTTAACCAAACACATTCTCGACTTGTTTCGTGAATGACTATTATCTCTGCATGATTTGAAGAAGTAGCAACCATAGTTTGTTTTGTTGAACGTCATGATATGGTTGTACCTCCACTTGTAAATAAATAGTCTGTCTGAGATCGACCTTTGTGTGGATCAAACAAATATCCTGCATCTGCATAACCAATCAATAATGGCTTGGATTCATTTGAATAAAATAAACTCATATCAATGGTCTCTTGGAGGTATCTGAATATATGTTTAATACCATTCCAGTGTCTTTGTGTTGGCGAAGTACTAAATCTTGCCAATAAGCTTACTGAGAAAGCTATATCTGGTCGGGAATTATTGGCAAGATACATTAATGCCCCAATTGCACTAAGATATGGTACTTCGGCACCAAGAAGCTCTTCATCATTTTCATGAGGTCGGAATGGATCTTTCTTTATATCAAGTGATCTCACAACCATCGGGGTACTCAATGGATGTGCTTTATCCATATAGAATCGCTTTAAAATCTTTTCGGTGTATGTCGATTGATGGACAAATATTCCATCTTTCATATACTCAATTTGTAGACCAAGACAAAATTTTGTCTTTCCAAGATCTTTCATTTCAAATTCTTTCTTCAAACAGTCTACTGTTTTTGGAAGCTCCTCAGGAGTTCCAGTGATATTTAAATCATCAACATACACGGCGATTATAACAAATTCAGATCTAGACCTTTTTATAAAGACACAGGGACAAATTGGATCATTCTTGTACCCTTCTTTCAACAGGTATTCACACAGGCGATTGTACCACATACGTCCTGATTGTTTCAATCCGTATAATGATTTCTGAAGCTTTATTGAACAAGTTTCTCGAAAAATTTATATGCTTCTGGCACTTTAAATCCCTCAGGTACTTTCATAAAAATTTCGTTGTCTAATGATCCATACAAATAGGCTGTAACAACATCCATTAGATGCATATCAAGTTTTTCTTGTATTGCCATATTTATGAGATACCTGAAGGTGATAGCATCCACTACAGGAGAATGTGTCTCCATATAATCAATTCCAGGCCTTTGGGAAAACCTTGTGCCACAAGTCGTGCTTTATATCTAACGATTTCATTTTTATCATTTCGTTTTCGCACAAAAACTCATTTATACCCTACTGGCTTTATGCCTTCAGGTGTTCGAACTATGGGTCATAAGACTTCACGTTTTCCAAGTGAAGTAAACTCTGCCTGGATAGCGTCTTTCCATTTTGGCCAATCATTTCTCTGTCTACATTCATTGACAGATTTTGGTTCAAGATCATCATCTTGTTGCATTATTTCAACAGCAACATTATAAGCAAAAATATTATCGATAACAATATTATTTTGGTTCCATCTTTTCCCGGTTGAGACGTAACTTATATATCTCTTCATTTTCATTATTTTTAGGTACCTGGACCTCCCCTAAGGTCTTGTCATTTGTTACGTCTTGGGGCTCTTCTTGAGCCACTACCTCTGTGTTATGTTCACTTTGATCACTTGCTCCTTTTCTTCTTCGAGGATTTTTATCTTTAGAACCGATTGGTCTACCATGTTTCAAGCATGACTTAGACTCATTTGCTTTAATTAATGTTCTGTCGGGATATCAACTCGAATTGGAGCATTAGCAGTTGGAATATGTGACTTAGTCACCCTTGGTAGGTTAGTGAATGCATCTGGCAATTGATTTGCAATATTTTGTAAATGAATAATCTTTTGAACCTCTTGTTCACATTGATTTGTTCGAGGATCTAAATGAGACAGTGATAATGCATTCCAATCTATCTTCTTTTTCAGCTGCTTATTTTCTCCCCCTAATGTTGGATATACTGATTCATTAAAATGGCAATCAGAAAATCTTGCCGTAAATAAATCTCCAGTCATCGGCTCTAGATATTTTATAATAGAAGGAGATTCATATCCAACATATATCCCCAACCTTCTTTGAGGACCCATCTTTGTGCGTTGTGGTGGAGCAATTGGAACATATATCGCACAACCAAAGATCCTAAGATGGGAAATATTTGGCTCCTGACCAAAAGCCAATTGCAATGGGGAGACTTTATGATAACTTGTGGGCCTTATCCGCACAAGTGCTGCTGCGTGCAAAATAGCATGACCCCATACTGAAATGGGAAGTTTTGTTCTCATAAGCATTGGTCTAGCAATTAATTGGAGGCGTTTGATCAATGATTCTGCTAGACCATTTTGTGTATGAACATGAGCAACCGGATGCTCAATTGTTATCCCAGTTGAAATACAATAATCATTAAAGGCTTGGGATGTAAACTCACCAGCATTATCAAGACGAATTGTCTTAATTGCATAATCTGGAAATTGTGCTCTTAGCTTTATTATTTGAGCCAACAATCTCGCAAATGCCATATTGCGAGTTGATAGTAAGCACACATGTGACCATCTTGTAGATGCATCTACCAAAACCATATAATATTTGAATGGTCCACATGGAGGGTGAATGGGCCCACATATATCACCCTGTATACGTTCCAGAAATGCAGGGGATTCCATCCTAACTTTAATAGTTGATGGTCTAATAATTAATTTTCCTTGAGAACATGCAGCACAAGAGAATTCCTTAAATTGAAGAATCTTCTGATTCTTCATTGCATGTCCATGTGAATTCTCAATTATTTTACGCATCATATTAGAACCAGGATGGCCCAACCGGTCATGCCAAATAATAAAATTATCTTGATTAGTAAACTTCTCGTTTACTACGGCATGTGTTTCAATCCTGCTAATACTTGTGTAGTATAAGCCGGAGGAAAGAGCAGGTAACATTTCAACCACATATTTCTTACTGGACATTATTGTAGTAATATAAAGATATTCAATCTTTTCATCATTTTTAGTCTCAATATGATAGCCATTTTGGCGAATATCTTTGCAACTTAATAAGTTTCTTTGAGATTTACTACAATATAATGCTTCATCAATAGCCAAATTTGTTCCTTCTAGTAGTAATAAATTAGCTCTTCCAGAACCTTCAATTAATCTTGTACTACCGGATATTGTATTAACATTTGCTTCTTTCATTACCAAATAAAAGAAATATCTCTTGTCTTTTAAAATAGTGTGTGTTGTAGCACTATCCAGAAGACATATATCATCTTTATTAATCTTGAGTCCAA